AACAATCTTGCCTCAAAGAGAAATAAAGGGAAACTCTCCAATTATGTCTTAACATGAGGATTTTATTTTGATATAGCCGTGTCCCCCCATTAGAAAAGAATATTTTTCAAAAGTGAGGCTGGTGACAGAATAGAACGTAGACTTGTTTGCTGGAAGTTTGGAGGCTGAGTAACTAGTTAGAAGGATTTCATCTGTCTAAGAAGAAAAAAGGAAGACCTAGAATAAGTCAGTCACGAAAGTGGCATCCAGAAGACGGAGACAGAATACAGAGGAAGAGCTGACTGGACTTGGCACCTAAAAATGTAGAGAAAGCTAGCACGTGGGAGTTCCAGTTGGATTTTTAGCTGGGAGGATCAGAGATATTAATCTCACAATTACAAATCCTTTTTATGTTTAAGGTGCAACGTTCTTAATGAGCTATTCTTCTGATCCATATTCCAAAGTCCCTAGAAGGATGCCTCTCTGTCATTCAAAGTCTCATGTCTGCAAGACTGACTCTCTAATGCTCGGTATGGTCTCTATTTTGAAATGCTTATCAATTTGACTCAAAGAACAAACCAGAATCTTCCGTATCCAGGCAACAGCACTGATAAACATGGAAGATTTCTTTCCTACTTCTTTATAGCATGAACTGCATACTATGGACTCTAAAAATATATATTGTATTTAACATTTCCAGAAATTAAACGCTATAAACATAGACATTTGAATTTTCCCCCTCACACAAAAAAAGTACACCTACAGTATACAATCACTGACATCTTAAATTTGTGACATTATAGATGTCATCTCAAATGTAAACAGTCTGTATTTTTCCTAGTCCCAGGTTCCTCCTTGAATACTTTTGGATCTTTTTTCCTCCTGGGAAGCACCCTGCTTGACCGTGATTTTACAGTCTAAAGATGTTGCCTATATGGTTGTATTGTAAGAGACCTGAATTTGGTTGTGTCAACCAATAAGCTGCAGGGCTGCTGCCAGACAACTTAACTTAGCTCCTCCCATGCTCCTTAGGGTCTGCCTATCAGAGAGCTACCTGAGGTCAGTGTACATTGGTACCCAAGCCGATACCTTGATCGCAATAATTATCTGTTTTTATTCATCTTCCCCTTGCCCAATTTGTTTTAGGTCTGATCAGATTTTTCCATTCCAAGGGCCAGTGGACCCATGTTCAATTGCCTAGTTTTTCCTTAACACCTGAAAGTAATCCTAGTTGCTAGATTAGGTATACATCAAATTGAGGCCAAACCTGCTCAGTAAATTTAATCAGATCAGTAGAACTAGTAGATCTATGTAAGAACAACAATAATTAGAGATTTTTGCCTAATAGAATAAATTTTGGGGTAAGAAGAATGATATTAAATAAATTCTATTTGAACACAAAGTTGAATGGCAATTGTAGTGGATACATGAACCAGTGACATAATCCTTGACATAATTGTGATTATGAATTTTGAAAGTTTGCTTTAAACTTAAAAGTAATAATTTTTTAGGGTTTTATATTCATGAATCAAGTAAATTAAAAAGTTGAACATATTTTTCTGGAAAATTCTGCTGCTTCTCCCCTCCAAAAAAAGGAGACATGCTTATTTTCATAATCATTATTGTTCTATCTAGCAAAGTTAATGTGTCAATGTGTTAGGACATCAGTTAGTCACACATTCTAGGAGTTTACAAATGAAGACCAGGAAAAGCCAGATAAAGTTGGTGACTATCTGTTAAGAACGATTTAAATGACATTAAGGGAAAATCCTTCTCCAAAGTAATCATAAAGGTAAGCAACATTTTCAGTTCTTTGTACAGTTGAGTTCTCTCATAGCTGGAGTACAGTTGAGCAGTTCAATGTAAAGTTTCAGCTAGAGTGAGCTGAAATAATTCTGCTGTTACGGACACAGCAGCTAAATCAATTTAAAAAAGAACTTTACATGAATACTTCATTGGATAGCAAGGTATAAAGAATGCTGCGGGTGCACATCACTTGGGTAATTAGCAAACTTTGTCTCTTTTCAGGCAACAATTTATTTAACTTTCCTCATTTTGTGCCCTTAAGTGAGCAAACAAACTTTTGTTTGAATACAGCATCAGAAATAAAAGAATTCATGCAAGCATGTAGTATCACTTTATCAGGTCTAAAGAGATAGGATTTGCTTGGTTGATTGGCCTAAATAAAGGCAACAACTATCTTTCATTTTTTCCTAATATAGAACTCATAGTGGCTTTCTGAATTCACTTTAATGATCAATTGTTTTTAGTTGGAAAGATAGATAGGTAGATGGCAGATAGATAGATAGATAGATAGATAGACAGATAAACTTCAGCATACACATGAAGTAGAAATCAAAAGTGAGGGAAATTCAGTACTGAAGGGTAAAACAGACTAGCTTGGACATTCCAGGCTGAGGACACAATCTTTCACCTGACGATTTACTCCATTTTCCATGCTGTGTCTTGACACTGCAATTTTGAAATTGAATTGACTTTGTTTAAAATTTTTTCTTCAAGACACTGCAAGATTTCTTTAAACTATATATAAAGTAGAAGTTGCTCTTCAGAGAATTGACATGTTTTTTACCGTATTATTGTATAAACACAAAACTAGTTGACCAATCTACCAGAGAAGCTAAAATGGTGCTACCAGAACTGAAGTCATCGAGGAGATACTATGTAGTCAATGTAGGGACGATAATCCCTTTACTGTGGTTCTCTGCATGCTGCATATTGGATGATGGCTATTTTATTAGTAAATCAATTTTGTCCGAATACAGAGATTCATTTGAATGTAGCTGGAGTTATTCAATATTATTTCAAGAGGAATTAAGTACAAATCCTGAGTTTTGTGCTAAGTGTCATAAGCTATATTCATAAATCAAATTTCTATGTGAATATATTTACAATATAGAATTATAGGTAATAAACAACGTAGAGTGTGCTCTCATTCTCTCAAGCATTCTCTTACTCTGTCTCACTCACTCTCTCATTCTCTAACACACACACACACACACACACACACACACACTCATACCTACTTTATCCTTCAAGAGTCCTTTCTATCTAATGCACAGTAATCCTTCCATAATGTTGTTTTCAGGGTTCATGACTTTAGTCTATCTTTATATATCAAAACGTTTGCAACAGATTCCTTCAGGAATTTAAACTAATGGTTCTGTCTTATACCAAAATTCACTTAATAGCAAATAAAGCTAAAAGAGTTCGCTTGCGTGTTTTTGTTTTGTATTTTAACATACTCTCATTTATTTGAATCTTGCATATTTGAAAGTGCTTCTATGTAAGATACCACGAAAATTTCCTTAGATTGTTAGGTAGATTCAATAAAAGGTAACGAATATAACCAGAAAGATATGTTTATTTGGAACTTTTTTTAAAAAAGTTAACCTCCATCTCAAGGATGATTTAATATTTCCAGGGTTATACATGCACCTACGTACAAACAAACACACACACGGTGGACTAGAGTTTGTGTTTTTGTTTCTTGTAATTTTTGGTCTTGTGGGAAAAGAACTAATCATCTGCATTTCTTCACATTCTTCAAAATTATTCAGGAAGATTTGTCATCCTTTAATGCTTCCTACAATGATCCTAAAGAATTTCTTTCCCATAGCTTCATTTTGGCTAGAGATCAATTTACTCAACCCACAGGAACTGTTATCACAGTCTGGTTTTCAAAATGTAATTGACTTCCTGGCTTATTTATAAAATAGAGGTATATTTCAAATTGAATAAAATAATTTTTATCACAAACTTTGACACCTAATGTTGAGTTTTTGTAATGGCTTTGCAATAAGAAGGTAAATCTAATTTTTAAAAATTATTTCTGTAAAGTCGTTGAGGTTGGAAATTATATCCATAATATAATTAATCAATTTGTATGTAATATTTCTAAATTTTTTCTACATAATATATGAATAGTCTATAAAATGGAATATTTTATTAAATACTTTCTACTTTTTTACTTATATCCAATGCAGAAATACATTAGAGTAGATGTTTGTTTTACAAGTTATAATAAATATATTATAAAAGCTAAGTCAGTGAAATGAGTGAATATGTTTAAAGTATTATTAAAGTAATATCTTTGACTCTTCTCACTATAACAACTTCCATATGTAAGAAATTCACTCAACTTTTACTACCACAATGTTTTTTCTATCCATTTCCTTTTTTCAACTGTCTTTGCCACGCTGTCAATTCAGATCCCTGTAACCTTGCCCATACCTCCATTCTCTCTATTATTCAATATATGTTCCTCCTCGTTATTAGATTCACTAGAAAGCAGAGTTTTAAGAATTCCAGAAATATGAATCTGACCTTTTCAAAAATCTTCAATTATTCTACACTGTTTTCTAGTTGAGCAAATATCTTCATTTTAGCATTGAAGATATTCCAAAATATGATCTCAAGTTACCTGTAACGCAGTGATCCTTTCTTAGCCATAGGCCATCATGGATTAAAATGTGCGTATACATATACATGCAAGGATTTGAATATAATTTTATGCACAAGTCTTAGAATTATACCCCTGTTCTACACCCTTACATCCTGCCACTCTGCTGCACACACCTTAGATTCCAACCATGTTACACCAGTAGTAACTCGAGGACTGACAGTGTTTTATGCAAAAGCACATTCTTATATGCCCCATGATACTATCCCAAATATTTCCACCAAGTAACTTGGCCTCTGGAATGTCTCTCTTGAGGTCTTTCAGAATGTTTTAATTTTCTTTATCTGCCCCCTGTTACCTGTTACCTGGACAACTTGGGAAACATTTGGGAAAGATAAATGTGATATTTCAGATTTCAGTCTCTACTATTCTTCCTAAAGTAAATTCTTTTGTTCTGGTGGGAAATAATTTTTCACTAAAGAACTTGGACTGTACTCACCTTGACAAACATTGGCTTCGATTGTATTTAAATTTAATGTCTATTTGATTCATGTCAACTCAAAAGGGTTTTCTGTGGTGTCTTTTTATTTCTATTTTCCAGGTTTCTTGAGCACAGGGGATCAGGCTGCAAAAGGAAACTATGGACTCCTTGATCTCATACAAGCTCTAAGATGGACTAGTGAGAACATTGGATTCTTTGGTGGTGACCCCTTAAGAATCACTGTTTTTGGATCTGGTGCTGGGGGTTCATGTGTCAATCTGCTGACTTTATCCCATTATTCTGAAGGTAACCGTTGGAGCAATTCAACCAAAGGTATTATGCAGGTTGCAAATTTTGACAATTTTGGTGTCTGCATGCCACCACCATCAGTAGTATGTGATGCTCTGTATATATTTCTCTGTTCAAACTGAGTGTTAGGCTGAACTCAATAACTGTTTAAAACTTTGTTTCTTCAACTTTTCTATGCATGTTTAAATTTTTGTCAAACTCTTTTCTTTGTCTCCTGTGGAGCTTGGTAAGGATACCTTTCAAGCACACTTGAGAAAGGTTAGCATTACAGTTACTTTTCTTTCCTCCAAAGGGTGATTTTCAGGAAAATCAAAGACGTTCACCATTCTGTCATCTCTGTTTATTCAGTAATCAAAGTCAAAGACACAGGTTTTTCTAATCCAGGGATTGTACATAATCTATTTTCAAGACAATAGACATTTAAAACCCTTTACTAGTGTGAAGATCAGGAAGCAGTTGTAAGCTAGTTTGTCTGGAAATGTGATTTTCACTTTTTGTTTGAGTAGAGAATGGATGTTTGATCATTTTGCATGCATGATCCAAAATTGTCAAAGCATCAAGGTCACTGGTAGAACTTTTGATTAAAAAGAAAAATATAATTTGAATTTGTGCTTTTTCTATTTTCAACTCCAAGTGTTATGTTTTTTCCCCTAAAATTTGCCAAAGCAGTATAGAACCCTGAAGCTGCTTAAATCCATGAAATATTTTTCTTGTCTCCATTTTCCGGCCTTGATACCCTTTTTCCAAAGTGCCTGCCCAAGGCTCATCATATTGTTCTTTATGGACTCCCATCTTACTGTGAGTTTAGTCACCCATTCTAATTGCATTGTTAACTTGAAATATCCACAGGAACAGAAGTGTTTTGTTGGAAAAGTCTGTAAAAGCAAATACTTTCCCTCCATTATACGTATGTAATAGACAGGAAGATAGAGTATACGCATCAGCATAGATCATCTTGTATTTTTTATATTTTTATTTTCATTTTATATATGTTATGAAAATATACAGTCAAGTATAATTCATGAAACATCTTAATTTGTAAGACAGTTTTATGATATGAGCACGAGACAAAATATTAGTTTTTGGTGTCAAAGATACATTGATGTGGAATTTCAAAAGCACAGGCAGTCATTAAATGGGTATATATATTTGGAAAATCATATATTATTAGAGGCAATTTAGTGACGTAGTTCATGTAATATCTCATTTATATTAGTAAAGTTCTGATTCGAGATGACAAAATGACACATACAAGAATATTTCCAATTGTATAGAGATTTTGGTCTGTAACAAAATGACTTATTTTGAAACAACAAGCTTTGTTTTTTTTTTTTTTAATTGAACAGATTAGATTGTTCTAGCATGAGGTCTATGCTAATGCCAATATTTATCTAGGTTAACATTAGACAATCTTTTCAGACTTCTTAAAGTCATTTGATCTCGTGTTATCTCCTCCTATTTTTTCTAAAACTACTAACTGAAAAGCAAAAATGAGCACCAAGGCCAGTTTCAGCCAGTATAAAACTAGCATTCGATAGAGATGAACCAATTAGTTCATCAGCTTGCATTGCTATTCACCAATCCTTGATGTGGTAAACAGTGGCAAATGGCTTTGCAAACTTGGAAACATAACATTCCATAACATTCTTCAAGGAAAACTGTCCATGCTTAATGAGAGAAATGGACTTATGTTTGGTCTAGTTCTAAGCCTATTTCCACTAACAAAGCTGCCTGATTTGATTAGGAGATGCTCAGGAGACCTCTTGAAATCATCAGGCTAAGTCTGTCGCCAGTGCAGACATGAATGTTAAAGTCTGTGACTCCCCAGGCCTGCAGTGGTGCTCAGGACTGTATCTAGCAGGGGTCAACCACAGCTTGCATACACATATCACTCACTCTCACTAATAATAAAATATATGGTTTTCCCGATACTATGTAGATGGCATATTTCAGACTATACTTAGCATGATGTGTATTTTCCCCCAAATCTTTTTGGTATATTTAATTAATGTTATTGAGCCCCTGAAATGAGAAAGAATGCCATAGAAATCACTAGGCTTATTTTAGCTATAAAAGTTTTAATCAGTAAAATGTTTCTCTGAGCAAATGTTGATAAACACATAGCCTATATAATTTTTTACAATTATCTGTATTCTTATCATTTGTTCTAGCATACTTTGCTATAGCAAACTAAAAACATGTTCATAAAGACGTCAGAGACCAAAATAAATTTAAATTAGCATTGTTTGACTTTTTGAATATTTTTAGAATTATCTAGGAACATTTTGAATTTTGAATACATATACATGTTTGGAGAAAAATCTAAACCTTTGCTTCTAATTCAGACACTGCTTTAGCACCTTTGTGAAAAGAATTCTTATCTCATTAACACATATGAATAATTGAACACATGTTTAAATAACTGAGCTACAAAGCTGTATTTGAAAATTAATAATAAATTCAATTTTTAGAAGAAAATACATTAATTATATTTATATATTTTGTTTCCTTAGCTGGCTGCCATTATATTTATTAATTTATTTATTATTCTATATGTTTTTAGAAAGATTGGCCCTGGGCTAACATCTGTTGCCAATCTTCCTTTGTTTTTTTTCCTCCCCAAAGCCCCAGGGCATAGTTGTATTTCCTAGTTGTAGGTTCTTCTAGTTCTTCCACGTGGGATGCCACCACAGCATGGCTTGATGAGTGGTGTGTAGGTCTGTGCCCAGAAGCCAAACCAGCGAAACTCAGGATGCCAAAGTGGAGTGTGAACTTAACCACTCAGCCATGGGGCAGGCCCCAGATTAATTATATTTTTAAAACAAGAATTTTATTGGAAAATACCTTAATGAATAGATAAAGTGCATTTGTAAATTTGAACGCATGCAGCTCTTATCAAACTGCATGTGGGACCATGATTTATAATTCTTAAATGCAATTAAGCGAAAAGCAGTGGACCATGTACTTTTCATCTTTTATGATAAAATATAGCAGCGCACCTTCAACAGTGGAAAAAGTTAAATCACTTCCCACTAAATCCTTCTGCTGATGATTTTTCCTTTAACCTAGTGAACACACTTCAAATGTTATGTCTTCTTCTGAAAGAGGAATATTCAGCATACTATGTCTGACTTGAAGAGCTGGAAAGAGTATGTCTAAAGTGATATTCTGTTTTGTGTGCCTTCAGGGCCATCCCCAGGGTATTAGCAAATCCCCAGCCTCAGTAGTTGTACGAACTCTCAACAGTTCTTTTTCAAATAAATTCTGGCTAAAACAAACATTTAGAGCCATTTTGAAGAAAGATAGATGCAGCCAAATCAGAGAAAATAGCCCCAAAAGACAATACAGAATCATACGAAGAGTTAAAGGAAAGAGAGTTGGTCCCATCTGGTTGGCTTTGATAATAAAATGAGTGTGTATGTGCTGATCAATGGAAGCATTTGGGGCTTTTTACCACTAGTATTTGCACATTCTCCTCTTCTCCTTGCTTACTGCCTCTTTGAGACACTGAACAATTTAGACCTCTTGACCCCTACAGTAGTCAAAGACCTAGGTCCACCTCTTTGATTCATTATACCCTGGCGATGACTTTATGTACCTTCTCTTAAGCAAAAATGTCGCTCTCTGCCTGTTTCTTGAGTTGTATCTGGGTTCTTATATACACGTCTAAAATATCAGATTTTATTGTTTTACCCTAACATTATTCAAAGGTCATCTGAAACTCTTTGTTGTTTTTCCCATAGGACTTTTTCAACGAGCAATAGCTCAAAGTGGAACAGCCCTTTCCAGCTGGGCTGTTAGTTTCCAACCCGCAAAATATGCTAGAATGTTGGCCACAAAAGTTGGTTGCAATGTTTCTGATACAGTAGAGTTAGTGGAATGCCTACAGAAGAAGCCTTACAAAGAACTTGTTGACCAAGATATTCAACCAGCGCGATACCACATAGCCTTTGGACCTGTGATTGATGGTGATGTAATACCAGATGACCCTCAGATATTGATGGAACAAGGAGAGTTTCTCAACTATGATATAATGTTAGGAGTTAACCAAGGGGAAGGGTTAAAATTTGTTGAAAATATAGTAGATAGTGATGATGGTATTTCAGCTAGTGATTTTGACTTTGCTGTTTCCAATTTTGTTGATAATTTATATGGATATCCTGAAGGCAAAGACGTTTTGAGAGAAACCATTAAATTCATGTATACTGACTGGGCTGACCGTCATAACCCTGAAACCAGAAGGAAGACGTTATTGGCTTTGTTTACGGACCATCAGTGGGTGGCACCAGCTGTAGCTACAGCAGATCTTCACTCAAACTTTGGTTCGCCTACGTATTTCTATGCCTTTTACCATCATTGCCAAACAGATCAGGTTCCAGCTTGGGCTGACGCAGCTCACGGAGATGAGGTTCCTTACGTACTAGGAATCCCCATGATTGGGCCTACAGAGTTATTTCCTTGCAATTTCTCCAAAAATGATGTGATGCTGAGTGCAGTCGTAATGACATACTGGACAAATTTTGCTAAAACTGGGTATGTGCTTAAGGAATAAAGTTTTCTATAATTTAATAAAAATATCACTTTAAGCGTTTAAAAATAATACATATTATGTACCCAAATGATTTAATAGGTGCAATATATTAAGGTCCTTTACTCAAAATTCTACACTGTAGTATTTCAAAAATCACTGCTTTATTACTCCTTACTTTATTAGAAGTTTATTAAGAAAGGCTAATACCTCTATGGCATTACTCGATAATTAATTTTATTCTGTTTTTTTAATTACACAGGACCTATTATTATTGTTATTCAATAGTGACAAATATTATTTTTTAGTGCTTTCCAGTTTACAGTGTGCCTTTTGATCCTCCCAACTACTTTGTGAGGTAGGCAGGTACTACTAATTCCATTTTACAGAGAAGAGAATTGAGGCTACGAGATCCTCATATAGATATTCATATGTCTGTGTAGCAACACTAGAACTCAAATATCCATTTACCAACCTCAAATCCCAAGTCCTCTCCACTGTTCCATGCTGTCTCTGCTAGTTTGCCTATGAGACAATGCATATGCATATGAATTTTAAAATCTTTGGATATACAGCAGCCATCTCTAAATGGAAAGAGAGAACAAGAATGTGAGGCTTACTCGAATAACATTATCATCCATCTGACAATCTGCCTGCAATTGGATTTATATTTCTAAATTAACCCAAGTTGTTAAAACACAGTCTAAAGCTTTGCTGAGTTGCCTCTCCAATTAGATGTTAAACTAGTACCATTTCAATTAAGAAAAAGAATAAAGCAATTTTGTTCTCATAATTTCTTTTTTCTCTCCTAGTGACCCAAATCAACCAGTCCCTCAAGACACAAAATTCATCCATACCAAACCCAACCGCTTTGAAGAAGTAGCATGGACCAGATATTCCCAGAAAGATCAACTTTATCTCCATATTGGATTAAAACCGAGAGTTAAAGAACATTACAGAGCCAATAAGGTGAACCTCTGGTTGGAGCTGGTACCTCATCTGCATAATCTTAATGACATTTCTCAGTATACCTCGACAACAACTAAAGTGCCATCAACTGATATCACGTTCAGGCCTACGAGAAAAAATTCTGTACCTGTCACATCAGCCTTTCCCACTGCCAAGCAGGATGACCCCAAACAACAACCGAGTCCATTTTCAGTGGATCAAAGGGACTACTCAACAGAGCTGAGCGTCACAATTGCAGTTGGAGCATCACTGCTATTTCTGAACATCTTGGCCTTTGCAGCCCTGTACTACAAAAAAGATAAGAGGAGACATGATGTTCACAGGAGATGCAGCCCTCAGCGCACTACTACCAACGATCTGACCCATGCACAAGAAGAGGAGATCATGTCCCTCCAAATGAAGCACACTGATTTGGATCATGAATGTGAGTCCATCCATCCACATGAGGTGGTTCTTCGGACCGCCTGCCCCCCAGATTACACACTAGCTATGAGGAGGTCACCTGATGATGTTCCCTTAATGACACCCAACACCATTACAATGATTCCCAATACTATACCAGGGATTCAACCCTTACACACATTCAATACATTTACTGGAGGACAGAACAATACTCTGCCCCATCCCCATCCCCACCCCCATTCACATTCAACAACCAGGGTATAGCCAGACAAGAGAAACAAACTCTATTTTTTTGATGGATTGCAGTAAAAGATTACTGAAGATTCCTTGGCTTTCAACCTACAAGACTCTTACTATTTAAATAAGGAGGAATATTATGTGAATATACATATCAAGAACTTTGGGGGTTTTGAAAAAAATGAATTGTACATATATACAAAAATCAACTTTAAAAATGAATTTCAATTGCGTGAAGCAATTGTTCTGAATGATACTTTTTCATTCACATTCAAGAATTAATTTTTTGAAGATTTATGTTACATAATGGAATTAGGCATGTGGAACACCAAACAGGAAAGAACTATGTCTGAAATATAAAAAATAAAAATAAAAAAGCAACCATGCATATGCACAAGGGACACACCAATGGAATGTCAGATAATTTTCACCAGTTTTTATTTGGAGCCGTTTTATTGTGTAGACCATATTTACATATTTGGATAAGTACACAAAGCACCAATGCTGTTAATGGCCTTAGCGAAGGCTCATGCTGAAATTTGCCAGTAAAACAAAGAAGTTTAAAGACTGGCAGGTACAACATTATCACATAAGTGCTGTCAGTATAAAGTTGTGGGGATAAAGGAAACGATATTTTTAGCACGATGTGCATGATAATTTATATGCTTGGTGGCTGTGCTGCTGATTAAGCCGTAATTAAAATTCTTCTCATCCCATTGGAGTTTTTAATAGAAGCTTCCTCCATCAATTGGCAGAACCTAAAGAAGATTTTAAGGGGCAAAAGTAATTACAATTAAATAATTCACAGTAGTTTTGATAATAGAAGGAATTAGTTATTAAAGGTATTTGAAGAAACTATAGCTATAGTGGTGAATACTCGCTGATATGAATCCCAGAAAAAAAATTCCTGTGTTTTTAATGTTCTTTTTATTCCCATCTAAATAATTTATAGAAATATAACCCTAATTGGACATGTGTTACAGGCTCTATAATTTGCTGTGGTTTTTATTACTCGGTATTTTGTTCCTTTTGGTAAGGTGAAGTGTGTCCGAATAGTTACTTCCAACAGTCTTTTATGATATGAGGATGCCCCAAATTACCACTCTGATTACAGTTCTCAGTTAATTGATTTACTCATGTTGCATGACAAAATGTTTACTAATAATAATTCAATATAAAGTTATGTCCCTCCTCACATCACTTATCTTTCTCACTGAGGTTCATTCACTGGAATTTACTCACGCAATCTCAGTAGAGTACAACGTAGATACCAACCTAGAAGGAGAGTCAACACCTGGAGGATTTTAGTCTTACACAGATGTGTGATTTTAAATGAATATTCTAAGACCACAGGAAACTCTTCATCCCCATGTTGTTTACCAGTAACAGTATATCACAGACCTTTCCAAATGTTTGTATATGTAATCAGATGTACATTTATATTAAAAAAAATTGAGATGGACTTAAAGAGCACATCCTGATAAATACTTTCTCTCTTACCTGTACTATATTTCTATTAGACTAAAGTTATGTGATTTTTTTTTACATTTTTTCAGATGACTAGCAATTTTGATAGTTTGTAAGATAATGCAAAGAACTTTCTCTGACAAACTAACTGCAGTAACAGAAACCTTTCTTTTCAGTTACTCTTTTTCAAGAATGAAAGCTTATTATACAAAAAAAAAATTGTATACTACTTGATGGAAACAACTTTGTACATCTTGGCCATGTCACTGGTCATTGCGTGAAATAAAGATAATCTGGATAATGACTATTAGTCCAATGCTAAGAGACATGATCTTTGCTCATTAAAGAGCTAAAATGTTTATTGCTGTTTTGTCTTTTTTTAAAAAATCAAAAGGAACATGACTGTCTCAGAGAGTCATTTTTCTAGACCAGTCGGATTTTTGAAGACACATAGGTAACTTCCACAGAAAACACACCATGTATTTAAATGCAAGTCTCATCTAAGAAGAAATTGTTGAAATTTTAACATTATGAATTTATAAGCCTAGGAACTCATAAAAAGTATTGGCTTTGTATTTTTGAACACCTCTTATGTGAAAGTGTTGTAGAAATAAAATGTGCCAATTGTTTTCAGTCAGAAACACAGATTCCAGTTCTGATCATCGAGAAAAAGATCTCTTGGAAATAAACGTTCAATATTTCATGGAATGAGAATTGCTAGGTTTATAATATAAGGGTGAGTAAACTATCATAAAGTAATGGATAAAAAGCTATCCTTCTAAGAGAGTTTTTAAAGTGCTGAGCAAGACATTAAGCTGATACTAAATGATAAAAATCTTCTATTTGAAGAAATTTCTTTGCTTATAATTTCTCTTCCCAATTATTAACTATCAGTAAAATGTAGATATTGCTCCGTAACTTCAAATAAAAGTCTCTGTTAGAAGCAAGAAGTCTTCAAAATCCAGAGGGGTCTACATGCAGTTTTTGCCTGATGTGTTTATGCTCCTAGACTCTGGACTGCCAATGTAAACTAATGAAAAGAATTGTTTAGCATCTGAAATACTGTTTATTCAGAAAACTATCTTTTACTATATTGATTAAACAAAAGATAAAAACATAAATAGAAATGACAACGAAATAATATGTGAATGAAATCTTTCATATGCATTACTTCACTTCACAAAACCAAACATTCTATTCTATTTTAATGATGACCATATTTATATCTATCTACCTATCTGTTACTCTAAATTTATCCATCAATCGATCGACCTATCTATACCGTAACTTACACCTGTTTGATAGGGAATTGATTTAGGAAAACAAAGCATAATCCTATTCGTTTTTCTAAAATAATGTAGCATCAACTTTCTGGAAGATAAAGCAGTCCTAGGTCTTATTACTGTTTTCAAGTTGTGAAAAAGTCACTGTGAGTGAGTGTTAGTTGCTAGATTTATAATTACAGCAGCTAGTTTTCTGAATGTAAAATTATGTCCGACAATAAACAGAACATTAAGAAATGTTTTCAAAGCTGAAACATACTTTTTAAATGCAAGAAATATTTTGGATGTTGTTATTAAATTTTAACCAATTGCTTAAAATGTACTTATTTTAGTTATAACTTTCTTTAGAAAAAAAGTACGTCTCAAACGGCATTACTTATTAATTCAGACTTTCCTGCCTTGAATTAAATTGCAAATAGTCAAAGCTGCTTAGAATTTACACAAACATTAAGCCAAAATGGACTTTATCTCATGGTTTTGCTATTATATAAAATTATTGCCAAATATTTACTAACAGATTAATGTTGTTTCAGAGTATTGAGTTAGAAATATAAAAGTGACAGATTTCATAGTTTTAAATTTCTATTCAGTATGTTGACCGTGAACAAATCTAGTTGACTACTATAGATGTATCACAAGGTGCATCATTAACTTTATGGAAATTGGAAAGTCATTTGCTAAAACGTTAGAAATATCCAATTTGAATTTGGAGAGATCATGCTAGCAGCTCAAAGCAGAAAATCTGAGTAAAATATAGATTGTTTCATTCCTCATTTCAAATTTAAAAGTTTTCCATAATGATACTTTAATTCAGTCCTATATGAAAATAGCAACAATTTATTTTTTTTTATTCTTTTTTTGGTGAGGGAGATTGGCCCTGAGCTAACATATGTGCCAGTCTTCCTCTACTTTGTATGTGGGATACCACCACAGCACGGCTTGGTGAGGGGTGTGCAGGTCCACACCTGGGATCCAACCCCACGAACCCCAGGCCACCGAAGCAGAACATGCAAACCCAACCACTACACCACCAGGCCAGCATCCAGAAACAAAATTTTTTAAAAGACAATCAACCATATGTAATACTAAAGAGGAAAACAGGCTGGCGCTAATTTTCTTACACAAAAGAAATGCCACAACTCAATTTTCATATCTATACCGTTTTCTTCTCAGTTATTTCACCTGTTGGCATGCTCATGTGACATACATATTAATATCATTAAAGGATACAAACATGTTCCAGCTTTAAAGACACTGCTACATAGAAATTACTGGGATTCTTTTCTTTGGCGAGTTTCATTGAAATAGTTTCACGGGGCAAAATGATGAACGGCATTCTTAGGAAGCTGTCAAATATTACAGCAGTCCTTTGATGTTTGTTTCCTTCTGTGTTATTGGTTCAGAGTACTGGCCTTTTCCTTCATTTCTAGTAATTAGTTGTTATAGACTATCACTTTTTAATGTGAGTGAAAATTAGATAATTTGGTTATACTTGTGAAAACATGCTCCCAAATAAATTCAATTAATGGGCACTTCCCTGCTGAGATTTTGTTATCATTCATTTAATTATCTTGTCAAGCTTTACTGTTACGACAATTGTTTTGGCTTTTTAGTCAATAAACTAAGGGAATTTCTCCAAAAGCCTTATACGTCTCCCGCACTTGATATAACAATACACACTTCAATTTTCCATCAGAAGTCTCTAAAGAAATTTCTTACTGATGTGAAACATTTGGTAGCCAACTTGATTCTTTTTCATAAGCATTCTCATTTGATTTGATTCTGGCACTTTGCTGTATTTGTGTGCAGGCCAGGAATCAATTGCATTTGATGAGGGGTGTGGAGTATTCTGATTGGAACAACATGTGCAGAGCATAAGTGCCTTTCCTCCTGGGGTTTTAGTTACAAACCTTATCGCTGTTTTCAAATTTGCAGATCCTGATAATTGAATTTAAAAGGTACAATAGGATGACCGTATTATAAATTTCCAATAAGAAAATTTTCTTTAGAAAGTCTTTTCTTGCATATAATTTGTTTTTTGTGTGATATCAAATAGGTCCAAATGACTTTTAGGAAAGAGTGAGATGAATTTTTGGAAAGCAACAAACAATTATTTACGCATCTGATTTAGTGGTACCTAAGTGTGGAAACTTAAATCTCTCACAAACTTTAACTTTTTTTCCAAATAGGTAAATTTAATTTAAAGGCAGTTTGAAGTCATTAGAGACATATGTAACATATACGTTAGGTAGGTATGTAATTTTTCTAGTCAACCATTATATATACCATATGGTATATATATATATATCATATATACTATATGGTTTATAGGATATTTATGATGCCCCTTTCAGACTTATATATTTGCAAATGACATTATATACCTCCCTACATATGTGCTAATGTGATAGAATTTAGTCCTCTGTGGAAAGTCAAGTCAAAGTGCCAGCAGTTTCATGGTGAAATGAAGGGTAGCAATTAAAGCTTTAAAGAAACGTATAAAAGTACAATAACACAAACTTAGCAGATCAAGTCAAAGCAAAGGGACTACTTTTGAATGCCATTTCCAGAGTTGATATCCTTCTGAGATGGTGTATTTAAAAGGATTTTAGTGTTTTTTATTCAACTTTTCTCTACACGTGTATCATTTAGCAAATTAATGGGACATATGCCACAGTTTTTGTAAAAAATAGGCCATTGGGTTGTCATATTCAGTTTGTTTCTGGACATCCATGGCTTTCATTAAAAACACATTTATTATCATGAATAAATATTGTCATGTTTTCCAAGTTGTGTTGACTATTTTTAAACTCAGAAATAATTTCTTTTCTGTTTGACACACACATAAACATTTCCAAGATAAATGTTCCCTTGCAACTTCTTTGTATTGCCCACACATGTGCTGACAATTCTGATTTGATGGAAACAATGATATTTTATGGTCTGTTCACCTCCTGGTGAATGTGGGGAAAGAATTTGGAGAGTAAAGTTTGACATCTTGGATACAGTTATTATACAGCTTGTCAGAAAAGAGAGAGGAAAAGAGAGGAGAAAGAGAAAAAAGGAAGAAGTGAGGAAATGAAGGAAAAAGAAAGGAAGAAAAACATTTTTATTTTTAATTAATAACTTTGCCTCCAAATAATTTTTTTAAATAGAGATCTGTGACAGTTTACAAAAAATGAGAGCAGAGATTTAAATAAATCCCTTTAAACAAAATCTATTCTCCTTAGAGAATAACATTAACAATATTTAGAAAGAGGCACTAAATTTGGTCCTTGATCCAAGTGTTAGCCAAACTGGGTCACTGGAAACAAACAAAATTAAAATCTAGAATGATATATTTCTTATCGTGACTATGTCATCAATAATGATCTTTGTAGCAAAGACTAAGTGAACCACAGGCATCTCTCATCTGTATACAGGACATCATAGAATTTCCCCATACACGGCCTAAAGGTCAATATTTCAAAATTGCTAAATAAAAGAAGTAGCATTGCTTTACAGGTCTCTGTGGCCCCATATAGCCATCAGTATCAAATGAACAGTTCAAAAACACATTCTAACAGTTCCACTTTCCACATAAGGGTCTTGATATTTTGTAGGACTCGATGTCATTTTATATGATGACATTTTTTCACTGCATTTTAACATTTCCTTACATATTTCAGAATATTATTTCTGAGTTTAAGAAAAAGATCCAAAATGTATTCTGTAAATGTTCACTTGAAAGCAGTATTTTCTAATGGAGTGCCGTAATTTGAAGTACTTCCTACTGCCCCAATCCTGGATAGTTGACTTGAATATCCCCTTAAGACACTTCTATGTCTCCTGAAAATCTTCAACTTCACTCTCAGAGCTGACTTCCCTTGTTTTAGAGAAGACCTTCCCACCAGTTACTGCAGCTTCTATTTCCATGTCCTCTCCCATTATTATTTATGCCTTCTTCTCCAAGGGGGTGGAATTTATGGTGAAAGTCTTAAGGTAATTAAATAAGTGGTGCTTCAGGCGAGTTAGAAGCTAGTGAACATCAATCGAGCAATGAGAGGAATTAGTCATTCATTCACTCAACAAATGGT